TGAACCCCTCATTAACCTTCTAAGCAGCCATAGTAGTCATACAGTCAGCACTAACCAACCTCCTAAAATGAAGAAATAAAAGTAAAAATCATAGCCAATTTTTACTGATTTTTCTAAAGCGGTGGCTTTCTTTGTATCTCAGGAAATTATAAAATGTTTTCTCTTGCTCTCATCCTTCTTGCGTCATCTCCATCCCTGCCTTCCTCTCATAGCCATTGCATCTGCTGCCTTGTTGTTGTTTATACAGTTGCGGCCACCTAGCCTGTGAAGTGATAGGTGGCAGTGATTTTATCTTACCCATCTTGTATGCCCGCTGCCTAAAACACTGTGCAGGCAGCAGCTCAATATATGTGGGTTAAATAACGAGGAAAATATAAAGAGCAATCCAAGTATATGAGACTAAATTCGTATATGAGACTTAAAACATAAGAAGCAAGTTAATTTGCTAGAAAATTCTAGCCCACTATAAAATGTTAGAATTGTAAAGGATCTTTTATGCCATTTGGTCCAATATCCTTATTTTTAAAATGAGGGTCATATACACAGAAAAGTCACTTAGCCAGCAGCAAGGGTAGTCAGGCATAGACGTCCCTGAAAGTCATGCAAATCTCCTCACCACATAAATAGCCTTTTCTGCTTAACTTCCCGTTTTCATCACTTGTAGCTTTGGTACTGCCTCAACAAGACACCCAAAATGTTCTCATGATTTTCTTCTGATTTGTTTTTCATCAGTTAATGTGTGTGGTTGTTTTGTTGTTTTTTTTTTAATGAGTCAGACTCTTCTTGCTAACTGTAGTGACCTTTCCTTAATCTTCAACTACTTCTCTTTTGTTTTAAATATTCTACGTCACCTAAATTTTCACCATCCCTTTCAAATTTAAGGGGGAAAAATTATGCATAGTAGAAGGAGGTTTGGAAACTACCCTCAGATGTGATGTGAATTGATGGGGCAGGGGGTAGTGGCCCAGACGCGTGAGAAAATACCAGAGCCTAGATAGTGCCAAGCCACAGGATAGAACCCACCTGAGAGGTCTGGTGAGGGGGTCCCAAAGGACACTTTTTGTAAAGGAATAAAAATAAATGGATGAGAAAGCTCACTTGGGATATCTTTCCCAAAAAGTAAGCAATGTAAAAATAAAACAAAATCCACTGTTGGTAAATTCCTTGAAATATTCATTTACTTAACTGACATTTACAAAGCGTGCTCATTTGTACCCAACCTCCTACTAGCCAGCGAGGCTATAGTGGAAAAGAACAAACCTTTCCTCAAGGAGTCCAGGTTCAAGAGACAAAGAAATATTAGAGGAAAGTTCTCAGATGCATTGATTTTGAGCAAAGGTCTAGGTTTATTTCAAAGGTGCCACAAGGACACTAACTTCAAAGAAAGTCCGTTCAAATCTTGTTTCTTCAAAGATAATCTTTATAGAAACAAAACAAAACAAAATAAAACACTACCCGGATAAGATTGTTAGTCTAGATACTAGAAAGGAATGTCTTTAAGTTTGTTGATCTAGTCCCAAGCGCTTAAAGGGTTTAAATTTGTCTAACTATCATACTGTTGACTGAAATAAATGCACAGCCTAAAAGTTAAGAGTTATGCTTTATTTGGCGGGAGGACTCGAGCCAGGATGACAGCCTCTCAGATCGCTCTGAGGGACTGCTCCAAAGAGGTAGGGGAGGAGCTAGGATATATAAGAGCTTTACAACAAAGACAGGTAGTTGGAACAAAAAAAGATTGCTTGTTATCTAAAGAAAGCCAGGCATCTCAAGTTAAAGAATTTAGTGCTTTTCTATGTATGGGAGGAAGCAAACATTTGGGCTCACTGAATTCATTCCTTTGACAAGGACTTAGCTATCTAGGGCCAGTATCCTGTCCTTTCTTATTCTGAGTCTGCTCAGAGTGCACCATTGTGAGTGGCTGCAGAGGCCGGGCTGCAGGCCTGTCCTCACTGGGGGGTGGCGGCAGCCGCTGATGACTTGGTTTCAGCATTCTTTGTTTACTAATACGGTTGCAGTATTTTTCATTCACAATACATATACCCATTTTGCAGACTAAACTCTAATTTCACTGATCCAAAAGTTAATCAGATACACTACCGAATCGCTTAAGTATATTATCAAAAAGTAATAATGCTTTTCTCTCAGATTTGAGGTACTTCATTTCTTTTTCAAATTCCTAAAATTCATCCTCAGAAAAAGGTGAGACAACATAAACTGAAAATTATAATGTATACTCTCTATCATGAATAAAGCTAGTGACAAAAGTTTTCTGTGACCAATAAGGATTATTAGTAAAGACAAAAAATAACAGTATAAAATACTCAGATTGCATAGAGTTAGAAGACACACAGTCAGTCCCTACCAGGAGAACGTCAGTGGTTTTCTATCCTCTACCACACCCCAGGTGGAATATTCCATCAACTAGCAAATTCTCTACATTCTGACTCTCATTTATTAAGTATTCTTACCATTATTTGACTAGCAGTAAAAAGCACTTTATGGGCAGAGAGACCTGGCTTGAATGTCTGCCCCACCAATTAACCAGGTTTGAAGGTTAGACAGGTTATTTAAATTTTCTGAACATCAGTTTCCTCATGGCTAAAATGGAAATAGTTTCTCACTCAATAGAGCTGTTATATGTAAGACAATGCATGTGAAAGTATTTGACACAAAGTAAGCATCCAATAAATTGTAATTATTTGAATTAAATTATCATCATTTTTTCCCAGCCAGCACTCTGCCCATTGCATGGGTTAGAAATCAAAGCATCTTCGATTTGAATCTTAGCTCCAAAACTGATTAGCTATGACATCCAGGTAGATCATTTAGTGTTTCTTATTTGAATTCCTTATCTATAAAATTAGAACTACGTTACAGAGTTGTGCTAACAACTAACTGAAATAATACAAGGAAGTGCCCACTGCCATGTGGACTAGTTCTTCACTAAGTGACAGTCCCCATATTCAGCATGCCCGGGTCTGGTGTTCTGGCCCGTGGAGCGGCAGTCCTGTCTTATCAGTGAACAAACTGTCATTTAACTTGTTGGTTCAGTGGTTAAGTATTTTCAGTGTTGGTGGTCCTCTAGGGCCTGCTCACCCTTGGAGGTGACCAAAATCATATTAAAAGAATCTGCGAAATTGTGGACCAAATCAGGTGATGTTACCAATCCTTGTCCACGTAAGAAGTCCTGCCCCATGAAGTCATCTGTTCTCTGGTTTAAAATGAGCATAAGCATATTAAAAAGAAATGGAAATCAGAGTACTGAATTTCATATTCCATGACATCTAAGAGGAGAGAAAATGTTTGGAAAATCCCTGTGGGGAGAGTGCAGGAGACCGAGTCCAATTTGGGGTCCAGCTGGTTGCCAGGCAGGGGAGTAGTTTAACTTCAGGCACTTGCACCTCTGTTGCCCTTCCCCAGTTCCTCCTTGTGCCCCGGGAGTCCATCTCCGCTGCAGGCTCCCAGCATCCTGAACCGCGTCTGTGCCCTGATGAGTCTGCAGTTCCTCATTTCAGTGTCTTTGCACCCCCGCCAGAAGTGGCTCTGTGCCCCTTTCCCCTACCTTTCTTCCACATCTGCATAACTTTGAAGACTCAGCTCATGTCACTTCCTCTGGAAAGATTCCCTTCTCTCATACCACAACACCCTTCCCCTGTGTTTCTTTGGACTCTGTCTTGACCTTCATTATAGATGCCACAGGGAATATCTTTTCTCTTCTCCATCTTCTTTAAAGCATTAAATGTAGACATTAAATGTCTTATTTCTACACTCCCACTTTTTTTTTTTTTTTGCCTCAAGCCTAGCCTGTACTTAGTACTCATTAATACTTTTCTTGAGACTGACAGGTCAAACTTTAAGATAAAAATAAGATCAAAGTTCCAAGTAAAGATGAAAATAAGCAGCTTTACCTTTAATTGGAGAGTGGATGGCAAGTTTGGGGATCTTCCAGTATGTTGTTCTTAGCAAGTTTTTGTTGTGGGTATTTGTTTCATTTTGGTTTTAGGGTAGGGTACATTTTTTTTTAATCTCTAAAAGGGGAATAATAATTACTGTTCAAGGTGATTGTAAGATTTGAAGAAGACACCATGTAATGTGCATAATGTGGTATTTGGACCAAGGTGAGAAATCAATAGATGTTGCTAATCTAACCCAACTATCAGAAGTCTTTTCATAAAAAACAACTTACATGCAAAACTAGTGACTGACATAGACTTTACTAAAGATTTCAAGGGGAAAATAGAGGAAAGGGTTTACATCTCGTTCCCTACCGCAAACCACAGAATATCCTCAATGGAAGACTCTTCTGGCCATAATGGTACCAGGGATTTCCTCTTTGACCCTTGGGTAACTACCTAGAGTAAGAATGGTTGACTTATATGATAGATGAATGCTGAACTTTAAAAAAAAAAAACTGCTAAGCAGTTTTACACAGTGGTTGTACCATTCTACATTCCCACCAAGAGTATAAGAGAATTGCAGTCTTTCCATACCTTAGCCAACTTTTGGTATAGTCAGTCTTCAATTTTAGCCATTTTATATCTTATATCATAACAGTCTTATATCTCTAATGCATAAAGAATTACTTAAATTAGTAAGAAAAGAACAATAAAAAAAATGGACATGCTTCTTGAATAAGTGCTTAACTAAACATGAGATGGCTCATTCATCTGCTGAGAGTAGGAGCAGGAAGATCCTAAGGAGAAGGATGAATCTTTAAAACAGTCCATGAAAGGAATGAAAAGAATTCATGACTAAGAGCCACAGAAGGATTCCATGGCAACACTGGGAGCCTTGTTGAAGCATTATTCAGCAGGGCTGCATCATTTCTCCAACACTGTTCAGTCTTTGGGGAATAGCAATGGACAATCAGGGTCCAAGTCAGAGATAGCAACTGTCACAACAAATTATTCAGCAAGGGGAGTCAGGGTGAGATAACTGCATTAACAAATAATCCCCAAATTCCAATGAATTACTTTAAGAAAAAAGAGTTTGTTTCTTACTTGACATTGAAGTGTAGGTCAGTGGATGGTCTCTGCTCCACGCAGTCTCTCAGGCACCCGAGATCTTTTGTCTTGTCTCTCCTGTAGGTCTTTGCAGTTCTCCTCATTCATCCAGTGGATGCAGCGAAAATGCTAGGATTAGACTTCGGAGGCTTTGCTGAGCCAGGCCTGGTAGCGCTGCTCATCACTTCCATTCAAACTCCACTGGTCAGAACGTTGCCATTGGTTTTATCTAAGTGCCAGGGGAAATGGAAAAAGAAATCACATGTCCTGGAGATGAGGGTAATAAAGACACAGGTGACCATTTTCAGTCTCTTACAAGCAGAAGTCAGGTACCAGAATATTTTTCAGTATAAGACAGAAACAGACACACAGGAATTTTTCAAACTC